CAGCTCTTGCTGACATCATGACTCAAAGGGAACAAGCAACGGACTTATTTGGGCTTTACTTCCAACTTGGGCATCCAAATTCCTTTACCCCCATTCTACATGTATTTCCATTTCAAGGGTAATCATAACCCCTTCCGGTAACATTTGGCAAACTATTTAGTAGTGTCTCTAGACTAAAATTCATGAAATGGTTTCCATAACTTGTGACAAAAATGAGATGCCTGGTGTCTGATTATGTTCACTGTATGTTTGTATCGTCCTTTAACTTCTTGGCCCTTGGAGCGTGGCTTTCTTCAGCCATAGTAAGACTAAAGCCATGAATATCAATCAACTGACTGCAGTCAGGATGAACATATTCAGCATTGTGAAATTTCTGCAGCCTCTAGACAGTGACTGTATGGGCAAAGTGATCTGTCCCTGTGCCCAAACTGACTATGTTTCGGTGGTCATCGCCAAAAATGCAGTAATTTTCATCCAACTACAACATTATATATCTCAAGTTGGTAACAATGAATTTCTTATCCCATTGGTACATACAGATAATGTTTGTAATGGCCCTTTTTTTGCACAGCCAATCAAATTATACATGTATAACCATTATAACATTCAGACATGGCCCAAGCCTTGCACATATGCACACATTACATGTACATTAAGAAGTGCATGTACAGGTCACCTGTCAACTTAGAGTAGTGCCTAAAGATTACTTGGTGCGGCTATAAACGACCGTTAAATGAAATGATGAATTTTTGAAGGATTTTGAAAACGGAAAAAAATGATAGTCATGCCGGCCCAGCATCATTAACATTGAAAAATGCCCAAGGAATGAAGTGGTTAAGAAGTGCACGTACAGCCTTACAAACCACACTTTAAGTAAAAGGACTTCTTGGCCTTGAGAAGAGAGATGCCACAATTGATTTTCCCGCCTTTCAGAGGTGGAATTGAAAAAGCACAGTCTTTGCTCTGAGGCAGCCCCTTGATCCCCAGGAAGGAGTGGGGGTCATGGTCGAGGAGGAGCCGGTCAGAGTGGGATGATCAGAGAGGAGTGGCGCCTCCTGATGACAGCATTTCGAGAACTTCTCCTCGAGTAGGAGACAGTGTTTTGATCCACTGATGATCAAATGAGTGCCGGTGAACTAGGCCGGTAGTCTGGCAGCTAGGCTGTCAAGAGTCGTCAAAACGGGCTGATTATATGTACACCATGTACAACTCAAACCAACTGTTAAATATTACTAAATTATATATTTCACTGACATCCAAGACAACTTTTGTACATAGTATACATATGGGTAAATCAATGCACTCACACACATGAAAACTCACACCACAACTTTGGCAGAATTACACTGGACCATTGCAAACACACTGTAAGGCATACATGTACAGTACCTTCTGAATGTCTAAGCACTGAAGCACGCACAGTTCCATCATTGTTGGACTATTTCGCTGACTTTAGGCTTTTCACAGTGGCAAATGCAGTTTTTCCACAGGAAACACTCAATATGCTCTTTTCCGGCAATACAGGCACGGGCAGAGAGTACATTACTGCTAATTGCAAACAATACTCAGACATGTAGTAAAAGCCTGTACCTGGGTGCAAATGGTGCATCTGTGTTTGCCACATCGCTCGCTTGGGCCCAGTGGCACACAATTAAATTTGTGAACATGTACATTAATGAACGATCAATACCATTCCCGGAGACTGAAGCGATTTTCTTTTTTTGTTTTAATGAGCCATGCCTATCACTGGACCTTTTTAAGCACCGGCGAAGGCCACCACCACGTTGTTTAATCACAGAACTACTTACGTGCAAACCATACAAGCTGCATATACATAACACAATCCATATGTGTACAGCAGTAGTATATCAGATTACAGTGCAGCTAGTGTCAACCCCCCCTCCATTTTAGTTTTTCATGTTTTTTTGGAAGGAGTTGTTCTTTTCTTTTTGTCTGTTTTGCTTTTATTCTCAGCTCCCTGGTAACGGTTAATTTAATCACTTTTTAGACAGTAATGTTTACTGTACCAATGACGCTCATTCATAAATGGCCTTCCCCCACTCCTTTTGTGAAATGCTACATGTAGGTCAGCCACATGTGCAGTGAAATCCCTTTCTGGTTTGCATGATTGAGGCAAGACGCAGAACGGGAAGCTAATGAAATTGAGTCTTTCCGGTGCGTGCAATTATAGATGAGACTGTGGTCCACTTCCCCATTTCTCTCATAAAAAAAAAAATCTGTGCTACCGAGACGACGTGGTAATCGAATTAATGACGGAAGAAACGGGCAAAGGGAAGAAACGGGCAAAGGGAACAAAGGTCAACACCACTAAAAGACTTGCAAAGTTAGCTCGACAAATCAATAAACAATACACACACAATGCTGATTTTGGCTGCAAGTTAACAGCACTGCCTGTTAGCACTCCAAGAAGTAACGACACGTAACACAAACGTAGGGAGGTCAAAATAGCTGAACATGTATTTGTAATTTGGTTTGAAATGCCGGTACGCCAAATCGAGTCAACAACCCTTTCTTGAAGTCCAGAAGGGGTTGCCTCATCTAAAAGACGGGCACAGAAAGATTACAGACCCTCTCTCGGATCTGGTGTAAGAGCTGGTGCCCTTTATCACTGACAGCCAAAGCAGCCTAATGGCCATCACATGTATTCCAAGTAGGGAGATTGAAAGCTAATGTGAAATACATGCACTGGCACATGTAACCACAGACTGCTCTGTCCTGAGTTTTAAAGACTCTCTCATTAAAGTTCACAGACAGTTCACAGAAAGTTCAAAGCATCCCTAAGCTTTTACTCCAGCTTTATCTTTCTTTTTCCGACTTCCATCCCCCTGGCTACTTACAGCTATAACATGATCCCCTCTTTATAAAATATCAAAATTTTGACTCCAGACAAGGTGCCATACCTTCAATAAGCCTTTTGTGAGGTAAATTTGAATAAAATCTGATACACTGAGATTTCTGATTGCACATAAACATAACATTCGTGCCCTTCCATCTGAGAAAAAAATGGCATTTGTTTTGCACACCATCGAGCACAATCCAAACTAACAATAAGGTAAAAAAAAGACTTAACGTGATTCCATACACAGTGAAAAATTGCTGTCTTTCAATAGTTAAGTCAGAATACACATAACCATGTGCATGTACATATATATGTGTACATTGTACATGTACATGTCTACAAATACTTGACAAAGGCATGCCCTTGCAATATAGGCGATTCACAACACTCACGTTGCTCTTGAAGGTTTGCATTGTGGAATACGATAAGTAACCAGTTCTTTTCAGAACCACACATACTCAAAAGAGATATTTTCCAACATGGTGTATCCGCAAACCCTCTACCTTAACATTCCCGAACATACATGTACGTACGTATCATGTGTTGCCTGTCGGGGCTGATTTTAGGGCACTTATGAGTAGTTACAATTAGTATTAGCACACAATACATGCAGAAGGTATGCACATACACAGCGCGCGGGCTGGACCATCGTGAACGCAGTAGGAACGGTTCGCTCAATGCCTTGGTCGAGGCTACCTTAATCCTCGACAGGATGACTCCATGTTGGAGGGGGATGCATTCCACTTCAGCATATTCGTGATTTTGTGAGCACAAACTTGAAAAATTATTCAGGAATATGCAAATTCCATGCAAGGGAGGAGCATCAAGTACTTTCTTCATTCTTCACAGGAACTTCAACCAGAGCAACTCCTTAGCAAGCTGGTTGTCAAAATACCATCATTGCTAATTGTGGGGAAAACATGCGTGAGGTCCATGTATTAAACGTAGCACTGGACATACAGCTCTTTACTTTTGACAGTACATGTTTTCCTTTTTAAAATAATCTACACAATTGAAATTAGCCTGAAAAGAAATTCACTGTAACTTTTAATCGGAAAATAGGAGACACGCAGTACATGTGCAGTGTAATACCGTCAACATGCAACGTCTCACCCTGACTCTTCCCTGTCTCTAGACTGGCTATTTTCAGACAGATGAGGGCTCACTCCAATGACAGGTTACAGGGAATCAAAGCACTTTAGCTATGGCAAAACCAGTGTATCAGGCAGATCCTTTTATTAGCACCTGCCTCTACTTTACATTAAACCTGAAATTATCTCCAGCAAGATTCACGGACGAGTGTCAAACAGATTGGGCACCAGACCACTGGGGGGGAGAAAGGACATGATTCCTGATTGAAGATCAGATTTTCATGTAACTTTTGACATTTGTGACCCGTCACGACAAAATGAACGTTAAGTCACATCCCCTCTTTCCTATTTTGAGGTTTCAAAGTCATATTGAAATGGAGGTCAATTTTGAGGTTTTATGTTTGGAAAGAGTAACCCGTTTGCTATTTAATTCCAAATATCTTGCAGGGATTATATATTTAAAAATGTCCTTATCTCAGTAATTTCGACAATAGCACTATTCGTGCTGGTCTGAAATGTTGAAATAATGTCAGACACAAAGATGCAAAGCTGCCAGAATAATGCCACATCATCACCTTACACTTTTACCCCAAGTGTTCCATGTACATACCACTGGAAAGCTCTTTCGTGCTGAATTCAAAAATATCAATATCTCAATTTTCAAAAATTCCAACTTTCAGCTCATTTTGTGGTGACAGGTCTCATTGGGGTAAATTGAGGGAAATGTGGGAGAAATTTTGAGAATTTTGGTGAGATACATGGGTAACAAAGCCTTGGAAACGGCTAGAAAATGGGAGGAGGTACCAGTGGCAATGATCCTATAGTGTAATTCGACCACCAGAATTAGAAGCCATTACTGCGGTGGCACAATCTCGTGGACAGGTGGTACGCGCGCGTTACATGCCTCATCAACCAGCAGGGTGTCGGGATTTGTCACATGCACGCGCACGTCAAGCTGAAGAATGTGCGTGTGAGTGCGGTGCCACCGCAGTTATGGCGTCTAATCAGATTAGTCTATTGACAGTAAGACAGGAAAGCGGTGGTCTTACCGGTGCGCTGGAGGCTAGCTGTATCTGCCTTTGGAGTCGTAACTGCTCTTTGGCATTACCCTTGATGATCTGCTCCAGGTGCATTTTTTCTGCATTGATGAGGCTGTTCTGCTAAAAGAGAAATAAACAGGCAAAACAAATGGTAAGGATACACATTATCTATTGGAATGCTTCACTGAAAACTATCACGACTGCATGTCCACGTATGGAAAAATGTTCCTTACACACGGGCAAAGATTAAGAAACACTCCTTGAACTTAAACCCTAATCATCCTCAATCCTTCAAAATCCTTTTTGGAGGACTGAGGCTACATGGCAAAATTACATTGCTTGTTGCAAAGGATGCATTGTCTCAAGGTTGTGGGTTAGACCTTGTGTTGGTTTATGTTCAGCCATGCATAAATTCATGCCCACAAAAATATCTGAAATTCTCCATACTGCTCCAGGATACAACTCACACTGCATATAATGAGAGGAATTGCCGGAGAATTTTGAAGAATTGAGGCTGTGGGCACCCCCCCACAGAACATATTCAAGAAATATCGGAAGATTTTAAAGGACTGATGCTGTACCCAATTTTTTCATGGGACAGTTGGAGGATTTTGGAGGATTAAGGGCGTATCCTCTGAAAAGGGCCTAAGCGGTTAGGGTTAAAGTGGCAGATATATGTCAATTGCACTGTGTGGTTTCAAACTTACAGAAATACAACACACAAGTGGTTACAGAAGCTTGAAAGGTTTAGTTTAGCCCAATCAGTGTATCCTTCCTTACATCTTTGCAATTCATCACTGTGGCTATGCTACCCAGGAAAACAAAACCAGTTAACCCACAACAAATGATTTTGGAGTGGATCTCCATCTCAACACTCTTGCCTACTACCGTTGTAATCTAGTCAATCACAGATCCAGACAAGCCACCCAGTCCCAAGTCAAGTCAAAAGCTATTCGAAGGAACTGTAAGAAAGTAGTCCCCTAAGTTCATCTTGTTGCTTTGGCAGGGTTTGTGGACAGGCTTGGAACTGGACTTGTGAAAGGACACATGAGTAGACTCACCAAAGGTCTTCTGACTGGACTTTTGAAAGGCTTTTGACTGAACTTGTGACTTGACTTGTGGACAAACTTGTGATGGACTTGAATATGCACAATTATTGCCTCTCACCTCGAGTCCCGGTTCGGGGCTGACCCCTGGCCGCTGCCTGTCCAGTTCCTGCCTTAGCCCCCGGATCTCCTTGTCCTTGGCCAGCAGTTTCTGGGCATTCTCAGCCAGGTAGTGAGCCCGTTGCTTGGCCAGTAGCCGCTTGTAGAAGTCGGCCGCCTCGGTGGGCTTGGCGGTGGGGGAGGTCTGCTGGAGAGGGGAGGGGCTACCGTTGGATGGAGTGGGTGACGTGTCTCCTTTCTGCCAAGATCAAGAAGATGGGAAATATTTGTACAAGTGTTATAATGAACTGTAGGGGGCACTTACAATTTCCTCTCCAGCAAATGTTTGTGTGACCATCCCTTGACATTTTGAAATGAACAGAAGAAAACAGAAGCCACATTGTGTTAACTTTCAGTGCCCTATTAAACAGAGCTTGCACAACCCTAAGTGGCCCTTTTCCAGGTGGCCTACATGACTTTGGATCTGTATGTAATGAGATTGAGCAGACATCTTAACAATTCAGTGAGCCGTCCTAAATGGGCCGGCTTGGTCTATTCACGTTCAGACTTTGGGGGTGTCTGAAACGGGCTTCCGCAGCTACGGCTAGGTCTATTGTCTGGACGTCTCTGCATATGTCCTGTGGAAAGAAGACCTACTACATAGACAACAGATTCAGATGCAGCCTTATTCAGCATTCACCCTGTTCATGACAAGTTCAAAACACATGATGTGCATCATTTGGCAGTCAAGTTCTGGAGAATGTGTATTAACTACTACTTAAAAACTAACTTGAAATATGTGATTTTCCTTTAACTAAGGAGTCAACAAAACATGTATTAACAGTCTTTACCCGTTTTGCTTCTGGCCTTCCATCAGGTTTTTTTTTCATAGTTTTCTTTATTTGCTCAAAAGCAACTCATTAATACATTCTGGCAAGACAGTACCTTGAGAATGGGAGCTTACTAGCCTTGGAAAGAATGTTGTAGAGATAATAAATATTGATAATTAACAAATTAACATGTGCATGTCTACTTTATAAAGGGAAGAAAAACTCAAGATAAATACAACTACTATGGCCGAAAGTCATTGGAACAGTCGGGAGTGATGACCAAATCAACATTCATGTTGGCAAGATCATGCATAGAAACCACGTGATCATTTGATGTTGACATTTATTACGCGCACAGCTTGGCTCTGAAAAAGAAGTTAAACTTCTCCCGTCACTGAGATTTTAACGGAATAGCCATGGAGAACATTACACAAGCTCTGTACAACAATGAATAAATCATGTCTTCATCTACCTGTGTTACATGCCATAACGATCCAGACAAATCAACGACAATGTGCACTGTGCAGACGTGCTATAGTGTACCTACCACATATTATTATGTGGCATTACGAATTTATGTCTCATGTGGCATAAAATTTTTAGTTCCACGATACGTTGTCAAACAGATGTTGGAACATGATTCACACTTCAAATTGTCATTAAATATTCTGGCAAATTCCGTGATAAGAAACGTCTGCACAATATGCAACTCTTGAAATCAAAGTCCAAAGGACGGCAACAGAGGTGACTATCAACTATCCGTACAACTGCAATTTTCTAATCAGAAAAGCCAAATGTGAGGCATAAAAAACAAAATTTGACTTTACGCAAGGCCAATTTTTTTCCCTTCCAGATTCAAAAATGTAAACTCATGTGACCATTCTGGCCCCCTAAAATAAAACAAAATGATAAAAAAATTAATGAAAAATGACCGAAAATAATAATGCTTTCTACAACTGCACACTCTCCCAGAAAACCTCTGTCTTTTCATATTTAATGTCCACAATGGGCCAAAATTGGAACTACTGTATCCTTCAAAACCTACATTCTCTTCCCTACCTCTTTATCTTTGTAAACTGACAGTAACAAGTCATGGAATTCCTTCTCTTTTTTCTTTGTGGATACGTTGATCGATGCCGGCGGCATCAGCTGCGGTCTTGCCTGCCGCTTCTGAGCAAGACGCCTGGTCTGTCTGACGACATTTTGCTCTTGTTGTTGGGACCGCGTTTGCTCGGGGGTCACCTTGGTCGACTGCACCTTACGGGTCGTCTGCGACAGCTCCACTGTCACAGCATGTTGCTGCTGTGCCAAAAATCGCTCCTGCTGAGCAGAAAACTGTTGCCGCTGCTGCACAGAAAACTGCTGCTGGGAGAATAGCGGCTGGCTGTGGGGTTGCGTCGGCTGCAGCGCTAGTTGGTGAGGTGGATTCTGCTGGTGCTGTTCCTGCTTCTGATGTTTTGGGAAGCTACGTTCTTGCTCATCCCTGGGCGGCTGGGGATGCACATCTCCTGGTTTGGCGGTCTCACTTTTGTCGGCGGAGGTCGTGATGGTCTGGAAAAAGAGCTTGAAGGGCATGCTGATGCTCAGCAGGGAGCTAATGCCAAAGCTGGGGTTGGGATCCGCGTTGGCACTGGGGTCCGGAGACTCCATCTTTGCACGTTCTCTTTGTCCCAAAGATGCAGCAGGTTCTGTCCAATGGGTACGTTCGTCAAATTCAAACGTGAGCCCACTAGCAACCACTGCACTGAATGGCAGGTTACTTTGTCGGTCTGGTGATGCAAAACACTTCACAGCGGCCGTTATCAGAGAAAGATCACAAACCACAGTACAGCCGAGGTGTAAAATCTCTCGGATTAACTACCATGGATCAAATTGGCACATTACTAGACACCATAAAACAACCAAAGAGAGCAATCAGCAATGCTGTATATGTCTGTAGTTCCCACTGCTCTCTCTCCCAATCTGGCCTGTGACCGGACCCCAATTCCTGACAGTACTAAGAGCACTTGATGTTGATGACTTCTGCAAATGAAATTCCCAAGACCAAACTCCAAAAACTCAGCCAGAAAAACACTTCAGAGGTTGGAATATAACTGTCAACTGCAATCCCATCTAGCAGACTCTTCACACCGATAGCACCTCATGTACTGGTCCAGCGCCACTCTTACCTGGGGTGCAATTCAATGGCAACAGTCTTACAAGTTGCTATTTTGCAGCATTACCCAACAATACAATTATTGATTGTTTTACCACTGCCCCCTGGCCTTGTCTTAATCCCCTTATGGTGTATACATGTACACAGGGAACCCAATTGCCCAATCCACATCAAGGGAGCAGTTTCTTTTCTTATCAAGGGCACTAGTTGTAAAAGATGTCAGCCCTTTTACTGATGGGTCAGAAGGGTGTGAACAATGGGTGCGCTGGTGGGGGGGGGCAGACAGGTAAGTGACTGGCTTAAGGGGAATGAAATTCATAATTTATGGGCCAGTCTGGAGGCCTAAGGTTAGGTGGAAGACTGTGCACATCAACCTGAACACTGAAAGCACGGGAACCTTCAGTGATTTCAACTGTAATTTGTATTTCTGGTCTCACATCTTGCGCATACTAGAAATCACTTCTTTTTTTTTTATTACAGGTGGAACGATGCGCACCCTCCAGGATTGAAAAGAGTTGCATTGGTCAGGAGTATTCATATTGTTGGTGACAATGTGACTGCAATGCTTGCATTTATTTTGTGAACCAGCAATGTGCAGTTAGTACCAAAGGAGCCTCTGTTGCTAAGGAAATAGCACACTCTCTTGGTCTGGCTCACTAGGCCCATAAGGTGTTCTTACTGATCTGCAAGTACATGTACTTGACAGCGTTAACTCAGGTCACTGACTCAGGATTAAGAGTTTATTCAAGATTTTCTGATCCAAGACTTGACTTGGTAACATAACAGTCTTCAGAAATAACTTGGGTAAACTGACTTCAGATATGATCCCAGAGGAAATGGGTTGTGACCTGACTTAGGAGAACATCCCTAGAGGCTTGACTTGTGAAAATGACTCACATTTTGCATCAAAACAACGGTACACCGATATGTTATATGATATGCCAACCATGACATTCCCAGATCCTCAAAAACTTATGTAGCAGGGTTTTTCTGGGGAGGGGGATTTGAGAGGGGGACCGGTTAGGAAACAGGGGCTATGCCATTATCGTTTTACCGGGGCTTGATTACCCCTCGAAGTTTAAAGTGTAATAAGCCATTTGCGAATTAAATTGAATAAAATCTGGTGCACTGAGTTATCTGATTGCACATAAAAATAACAATTTGAATTCCCCAGACTAAAGACACTGTTGCTATACATCATAATTCAGGGCAAGCTTTCACATAGCGACCACTATCTTTGGAAGGGACTGGTTCCTTTATGCCCTCCTTATCCATTGAGAACAGCGTATTGTTGCAAGGCGTCTCTTATGTAACTAAGCAAAAGCTTGCCCCAAATCATGAGGTATAGCAACAGTGGTTTTAGTAAGGGAAATTCAAGTTGTTATGTTCACATGAATTTAAAGAACTCCGTGTACCAGATTTGGGTCAAAGTTAACTCGCAAAAGGCTTATTGGTTTCCCTAAAACGGAGTGTTTAGGATTCCCGAGCGATCCTATATGTACATTAAATACTGTACGCTTCAGATATGACAGGCCTGAATATTTCAAATAACTGAAATACATTTTCTATGATCCCAGTTTATGTAATAATCCCTTAAGCCTGTCAATACCACATGTACCGGTGCTTGCACATCCCAATCATGCCAACTGCTAAGTCATTCAGTGTGTGGCTTGCATGAAAATCAGCATCTGAGGAAAGTGGGACAATGGGTCAACTACTGGACTAGTGTGTTCAGCAAACACCGCCCTCTGTTGGCCAAGGTGTTCATCTGTCTCAGTGGGGTAAAAGGGGCAAAAAGAATAAGACTCTCCGTAGTCAATTCGCCGTCTCTTTAATTAACTCATGTATTCAGGTTGGTAAGATATTTTACGGGGGAGACCACATGTAAGTTGGCTCTGACGATAGTGCGTTGTTCAGGATGAAGAAAACTTTCACATTGTTGAAATACAGATGCCATATTTGATAATATTGAACAAAGATAATTCACTGCAGCAGGACATGAAGCTGCGATGTCATAACGTGTCAATTTCACAAAACGGAAGGGGGCCATGAATTCACTTTTTGGCAAGAGACAAGCTTTTCCGTAAACAGTGACTATGAGCAATGCTCCTCCAAGGCAACTTGTGAGCACAGACCTTCTGCTTCTGTATCTGCTTGGCCTTCTCTTCCAGCCGCTTGGCCATGACGGACAGCTCAATGTTGCGCTTCTTCAACTTGTCGATGCGTTCCTCGGTGGGCTTGCGCTCCATCTGTAGCTCTTCCACCTGCTGGCGCTGTGAGGCGAGAAACATGTTGAAATTCTTGTTAGAGTAAGTTGCAGCCACTCACCCTTTGCCACTTTTGGGGGTCGGGAGTTCATGGAATCTTTTGAAGTGGCGTACTTCAGAGGGACCATATGCAGACACGGGTAATTCCAGAAGTTAGGGGTCCATTTTTTCCATGTCCCTGTCACATCTGACATTTTGATTTTGTAGGTTCAAAACACATTTTCTCATTTCCAAGAGTGATGAATTAATGCAAATTACAGCTATAGTTTGAAATCAATTCCGTTGATATTTCCATGTCAAAAAACAAAGGTCAGCTGTAACAGGGACACAAAAATGTAACACTTTTAGACCCCAGATTTCTGGAATGACCCATACCACTGATGATACAAACAAACAAACATGCTGGTCTAGTTTGACCATTATATTTGAAATTATATAGGACTTTCCATAACATTAGAACATGGTTGTGACTTTCTGATCGATTTCTAGACGATGCAAAAGAGTTTACTCAGTGCTTGTTGCATGTCTTCCACTTGTTTTACAGCGTTTAAAATCATACGGCAGTTTGACACCAATTCAGCAAAGTGGTCCAGTCAAATCAGCAGGGTTTTCTGGCAGATAAAAATTTTGCCATTACCTAACCCTCCACGACATCTGTACACCTGCGTAAATGAGTGAATCAGGGCACCGGCTAATGACAGGAGTAAACCCCAGAGCAGTTTACGCTTCCATTAAAAACAGATGTGTTAATTCGCGAACAAACAAAACACCCTTTGGACTTTCTTTAGTTATACCCTATACATCCTATTTGTAGCTTACACACTGATTCTTCCATGCGCAAAAAGTTTGGGATACTGAAGTAAAAGAAGACTACAAGAACTTAAAATACCACCAAAAAAGTTCAGGCCAATTTGTACTTGGTGCAAAAGTGAAAATGAATGCAAAATTGTTACATCAGATCAAATGTTCCTGCTGCAAATTTGAAACAGGTGAATGCATTTTAACTCAAGCGGATTCCGCAGCAAACAATTTGTGACGTCAAATGTGCTTCGCTTTGGAGTTTGCCTGAAGTATGAACCGGTGAATATGCAAGGGCTGCATAAATGCAACGGAACAACCTGTCAGAACGGTGAAAGCCATAATTCTAGAGACAAAGCCATATGTTCCATGGACTTGTCACCTCATGGGGACCACCAAGTAACAGTCTGCACAAGGCTTTTTCTTTTTGTCTGCTTAATTCCTGACATTCCAACCGTGCACCCCAGTTCAACTTCCAGTAAGAATTTTAATGACTTGACCTCAACTTGAACAGGAACAGTGACACAGGCAACGCTCTGTAATCAGAGCCTTCTTAAAGCTAAACAGTGTTTGATGAGAGATCTGAAAAACGTCTGCACCATCAACTTGGTGAACACTGTCTCCAGCACTCACTGTCTTTTTTTTTCTTTCCCGTCAACACTTGAAAATGACATATTTTCCAAGTCTCAAAATGCTACATCTCCTCAAACATCCATTCCTACAGTTTGAACGATATTTATTTGAATTACATTTTATCACTTTGACTTACTGTACATGTATGTACATTCCATTTGGGGGTTAGGGAAATTTCCATGCATAAATAGCAGCATATGCACGTGCAGTATTCAATCAAATGCAGTAATGGACAAAAAAACAAAAAAACAATTAAATTCCTTCAACAAATCATCTGAAGAAAAAAAAGGATCTGAGCCAAAAAAATCACTGAGTACAATGTGAAAAACATTTCACATATGCACAGCATGCAAAGCTTACACGTAAATATATGGGTCAAACAATAAACGCAATGCAGTTCAAACATCATTAACCTTTATGTCAGTGTGTGCATGTTTTTATAGGGCCAACAGACAGGCCATACACTTCTATTTAGAAACCTTTAAAGTCAGAAATGCATTTGTGCAGGTACGAGAACCAGTGCTTGAGCAAATTTAACCTTATGTTGAGTTTTTGAACACCTCATAAAATGAGCCATTTTTGGTGGCGGGGGGAGGGAATACGTCTAAGGTTTTTTTGTAATGAGAAAACATCCACAGCATAAGAGAAAGTGACAGTTTTAAATTTTACAAGAACATGTGCATACTGACAGTTTCACTCAAGGAAGCAGATTTTTAGAAACAGTTTATTCTAGTTTCCCAAAATTTTCAAATGCATCCATTTAGACATTTACTCACATTTAAGAGTGCACATCTGTAACAATTCCACACTCCTTCATTTGTCATTCACTTTGTTTTCCCAGTAACAATCATATCGAGGATATGTATGCAAGTTTCCCATCAATAAGATATGCATTCATTGACAACACCAATCACATGAACAGTTAACAAAGCTTGAACTTCACTGCGTTGCTGAGCAATACCGTGCGGTGCTCCCGTGGTGCATCCCTGCTCAAGGCTGGCCCGCCATGCAGTCGAGATCTCTCGTCCATTCCATCACCCGTACCAGTGCCGGACCCTATTACGGACTGCGCAGCAGAACCAAGAGCGGATGTGGGTGCCCTCTTTAAGTTACCCCGGTGGCTGGGCTACCCATGCCAGTACATGCATGCAGGAGACAAGAACGTACACAAAAATGCAGACGGGTTGAGGTGATATTCATGCAAAGAGATATAAATTACAATACGTACACACATGTATACTTTTTTCCCTCATGCATCGAGGTGCTGTGCACTTCCCATCCTAAATTCAAGGATTACCGCAAACATGTAATCTCGTTTTCACGGCTGATCAATTTTATCAGCAGAACTAAATGAAACACTGTATTGCAAAAGGCATATTTAAGCCAAAATGTAATGTACTGTAGGTTTTTAAGAGTGTTGTAAAGAAAATAAAATGAAGATTGACATTACATTAGTCAAAGCTAATAATGATCCCATTTTAGGAAAACCATGTCTGTTTTTAAATTGTATATCACCCCAAACAATTTCATGAACTATCAGGGAGACACAAGATGTTCCACATTTAAGAAGCATTAATGAAACATTATTTCCGCATCTGAATTAACAGATATGTATTTCATGTTTTTTCCACGTGCTGAAGCTTTATAAAACAAAAATGTACTGATATTTATATGTAATGCATTAGTTTATTTGTGAGTATTCAGTTCAAACCAATGCCATTATCAAAAAAAGCCTGCACAGTTAGGCCAGTTTTATATAAGTTGGTGCTCGGAGTTTTAAGACAAATTTTAGAGGAGGACAGAACAAAAAAGTTTTTTCTTTGGTCTCAAGAAAAACAGATAAGGGTCTTCAAGTCGGAAGGAAGAACACCCCGAAAAATTCCAGCTACTCAAAGAAAAAAAACAGAAAAAACATGAGGTATCCCTTACCACTAGGGCTAGGCACCAAGGACCTGGGACTTTGCCGTCAGACAGCGAGCAAAAAAAATTTTCTTTGTTTTTCTACACTTATTTCAGTAAATTGCTAATCAGTGGGTCCGAGACTTCTAAAAATAAACAACAGTATCTTTTTTTTCAGTTCTGAAGCTGGAAGATTGGCAGATCTGAGTACCGACTAAAAAAAAAAAAATTCAGGCCTAAAAAGTAAGTCCACAAACCAACACTGACAAAAGAAGCATTAGTGCATTACAGCCCAACAGACAAAACTATAGGCAAAACACACACACACAAAACAGAAGCCACAATGTACCATTTCCTCTTGCTGTGCAGTACTGTGCTCACTCTCACACTCACTCTGGTCAGACACAGTGAGGGAAACAGTGCCAAGAACAGGTGCAGACAGGGGTGCAATCTCACTCTGGCCAGTGAGCAGCACTTTTGAGAGGTCTAATTCGTCAGCAGCAAGATTCTCAACAGGATATTTGCAGAGCTCAGGCCCTCCACCATTCAAGTCAGAAGAAGATGCACTTTTGAGAGGGGCATCTGATGGGGTGCAAAACTCCACTGCAGACCCCTCAAAAGCTATGGACAAAGGCAGTTGTGCATTTTCGACAAGCTCATCAAACTGAGGAGAGACGGCGACTTCTCCACTGTCTTGAAAAGACAGGGGTGGCGGCATGTTAACCCCCAAATTGCTCATGTCGCTGTTTAGAGGCTTGAAAGTTGTATCATCAACATCGGTTTGGAAGTCAATCGGTTCCAGCCTCGGGGCGGAAACCATGACAGAATCATGCGCCAGGGACGGGATAGTCTCGCCCGGGTTTATAACCGTCTCAATAGGCACATTAAAAGTGACTTGGGGAGGTTGGGATGCAAACTTCCTGGAGTCATAAGCAACCGTTGTGTTTTGAACATTGCCGATACTGCACTCATCATCAATTAAGATTTCACACGCTGTGATAGAACCCTCAACAAAAGCAGGTGCAGGTGGCTCCTTATTTCCAGTATTGCTACCCAATACACTCATGTGGAAGTCCGCAGTGTCTGGTGGGGATGCGGGTGGGGGTGTATCTGCTATGTCCTGATCTTCACCCACAGTTGTCAAATGTGAAATGGACCCTGCAACAAACATGGGTGCACGACCGCCAGCCCCTAGCTGTAACTGGGCAGAGTCAGGGGCGTCAGGAGATTCTGGTAGGGAAAGGGGTGGTGCTATGCCTCTTGGGGTGACGCATGCGGTGGCGGATGCCCCAGCAACACATGGTGCAAGTGACAGTGCAAATTGCTCATCTGGATCCAGCTACATTGACAGAGCAAGGTGCATGCACGAGAAGAGTCAAACAAAATTAAGTCAAAAGCTGAGCAAGCATCTCAAAAATGTTAAAAATCACAGCCGGCAAAGCAAAATTTGGTTAAAACAAAGCAAGCTCTTTGAATTACTAACAAACTCAACCTCACAGCACACTGCATTTTATGATAAACATGAGGCAGAATAGAAGATAAAGGGGGAATTAGGCAGCATTACATCTAGCAAATCTGTCTGTTACTGGAGCAAAGTTCAATAGCAGCGATCAGTTGGGGTTCCACTCGACAATGGAACCATTTTGTTGCATGGCCTCATTCACCAGAATTTAAACTGCATGAGCATGAGTTAAATTTTAATTAATAAATGGCCCATTGCACTCAGATTTCATCTTTCAAAAGAGAAAATCAAATGACTGTGTTACCAAATGCTCATTCTCTTTCCTCAGAGTTGTGATTTCTTGCTGTTGCCTAGCAACCAAATGTTCAAGCTCTTCCTTCCCCCCTTTGCTACGAGTTGTTTCTACTTGGGTCTGTTGGTCATCTACCTGAAGAGGCAAAAAAGTTTTAAAATCACAAAAAATTAACAATGAAAAAGAAGAGGTTGTCTAATCAATCACCAAGCACAAACATGCGAGAACAACCACATGTACATGTACTGTTGGCAAACAAAGTCATCCACGAAACACCGTCCGTGCACTCCCTGCAGAATGAAAGTTCATTTAAACCAGCATTTCAATACAGGGCAGGAACTGCACTGTTGAAGGGGCAAGGTGATTTCTCCTTCCAGAGAGCACCTGGGAACATATCAGTGGGCATCAAGGCAACCGTCTGTTACCTTTCTGAAATGCCTACTCTGTGAATAGTACATTAATGTAACAGAACATCTGTGATACCGCACATGATTTCAGCACCGACACGCCGTTTTGGTACATGTATACATGACGTACATGTACCAATATGGTATATTCCAGTACCCTATGTATGTAGTACAACATACCGGTAGGGAACATGTACATATTGTAAACACAAACACAACATAACTAAACAAACAAAAATTTGAACAAATTTGATGACTTACATGATATTCAGACACAGCATCACTACCCCTTTTCAATCTATCAACGGCACTGCCCATCACTTACAAGTCACTGGCGTCTACTGACATACTGTCCTATACCAATCTTTCATACTCCACATCATGTTCCGATACTCACTTTTGAGTCAAGTTCCGCCTAAAAATAATTCATAATTTTGTAAGACGTGGTGCACACATACGCTGAAGTGATCTGTCTGTTACTCTCATTCACAACCCCCGCCTTAATTAATGGCTGGTGAGAATACCGACATTACGTGTGAAGCATGGAACCATTCCCCACCAAAAAAAAATCTTGTTAAGTGCGCGCGTTAGTTAATAATCATTCACTGCATAGAGTAAACTTCTACCAGTGCAGTACGTAGGGGCCTACGTCAGTCCACATGGTGCTAAAGTACACTGTTTATCACTTGCTTTGGGGGAAGGGGGGAGGGGCAAACACTACATAGCGACAATGACACGAATGGCATATGTGTACATGTACATGTATGTGCATTCTGGTAACACAGGTATATCATTGTTGAGCTTGATGAAATGTAGGTAATTAGCCTCGGGTATTAAAACACAGGGGGAATAAATAACCATGAACACCGGGCGAGAATGACCGGTATGTATTAATACCAGTGTGACAATAAAAAGTTACAACTCCCGCCAATATTCATTTCAAGGACAAAATAATGCAAAGCACTGAAAGGTTTGAATTTTAAAAAAGTTGGATTAAAAAAAAAACCAGACACCAATCCCTTACAATTTATGCTTCTAGAACAGTACACATACCGTCTAGGTATGGTACACAGGCATGTTCAGGAGGGTTTACAAAGAACATGTGCATGTAACAGTAAATTTATGCACATTTTAATTTACAAGGTACATGTAATTTTATTACAAAGCACTAGCAATGACTGGCCATTACTCTGATCAGTTAACTAACGGTATTTGCGAGTAACAGCTGTTATGGCATTTATTGTACTCGTTGCCTACATATACGTACATGTACATGTGCATATTACTCCACAGTGTTCACTCTTAGTTAATAAGTACCATCATGAGCAGCATCTGTGCACTGGTGAAGCATCAAACTGATATGCCTTTTAAAATAATTATCCTTGTTTACTGTCCGCCAACACTCCATCATGTCCACATTCAGTGAGGGAAGGCTTTTGGTTTATCACTGCACGTGATATACATGTACATGTATGTACATGTACATGTAGTTACATGTACATATTTCTTGAACATATACATATGTACAGGTATATGTTAACATGTACATGTACTGTGTACCAGTACATGATTCAGACACACACTGTATACATACGGTACACATGTTTAATAGCATCTCTTCAAAACAGTAAAAACTGTTTTCTGAATCTCATACCAGGGCCAGTTCGATCAAGGTTTGGTTCTGGATGTACCTAACGCATGTATAGTGAAATTGAAGTGCAAACAACCCTAGCCAACCGTTGTCAGGTCATTAGGCCAATGGGGAGAAAAGGCGACCACAGGAAAGGCAAAATAGCAAAAATAAAAGTGAAAATGGTCGTTACTAGTGACATACTGTTTTTGCAGCACTTTTCTTATAATTGGCACTGTGTTACTAAAAACCAACCTCTATAGGCTGGTTGCGAATACATGTACATGTAGTTGACTACACTAGTCCAACCATAGTCAACTAGCCTGCATTCCATCAGAGTTAGTCGAGCTATGGTTAACTGTGGTCCTTGATCGAACTCGCCAATATTGTAGCCTGGGAAAACTCCACAAATCAGCACAGAAATACATTCATATTGATTTAGCACTCAAAAAGCGACCCACTTCATTCCACCTGAGTGGCCATGAAAGACCCAAACAATACAAGTACTCCATAGGGGACATTCACTGGAATCAACTGCTACTCAAACTAAATATTTAGGGGAAGCTCCCAGACCATGAACTGGTTTAAAGACATGATTTCCAAGATCAATGAACTACAAACTGCCCTAGGGGGCATCTTGACCTACATGTAAACCTTCTACAGTGGAGTGTAAAGTGACTGGTTATTGTGGGTGTCAGCACGGGGACAGGGCACAATGAGTGGTAACCATGGACACCGAAAACAACCTCCACACCATGTGTGGGGAAACCCTATCAATGTCAACAATGAATTCCAGCACAATGCATGCATACTGAATGCAACACCTGTAATCCTGTACCAGGATATTTCTAATGCTGTTCCGATTCATTGTCCAGTCTAGCCAAATCAGGGATACATGTATGTCCACTATACTATATGGATGATGAATGGTGTGTACATGTGTACACCACTACATAATAAATACATGTACACATGCAGGCTAGGAATTACTCTACTGAGGGAAATCCACTATAATCACACATGTACCACCATGTAGGTACATGTACCAATATCTACCACCATGTAGGTACAGGTACCAATATCTACCACCATGTAGGTACAGGTACCAATATCTACCACCATGTAGGTACAGGTACCAATATCTACCACCATGTAGGTACAGGTACCAATATCTACCACCATGTAGGTACAGGTACCAATATCTACCATGCACAATTTTCAGTATGGGCCGCTACATGGCAAATGCAATTTAATTTAATATAAAGAAGTGTTACATCATACAGATGGGAAACAAAAGGAAGAAGATTTGCAATAGTTATAATCTGAATAATCATTCTCTAACAACGGTGGATCATAACCAGTATCTGGGAGTCTTTCTTTCTCACAAATTTAAATGGGATCCCCATTATGATTATATGGTCAAGAAGGCGAACCAGGTCCTAGGTATGTTGCGTAGGAACTTAAAGCTGTGCTTGAAAATGGCAAAAACAACTGCTTATTTACATGTAGCACTCGTTCGTCCACACCTGGACCACGCTTCAGTAGAACCGGCATGTGATCCCTTCGAGGCTAAAAACTGGTACATCAGTAAGTTTGAGATGGTCCAACAATGTGCAGCACGCTTTATTAACAACTTTAGTAGGGTCAGGCTAGTGTGACCGACATGATCACAAACCTTGGGTGGGATACACTAAAACAGCGTCGAGAAGCTGCCAGATTGATCATGATGAAACAAATATTTACGGATACATCTGCTATTCTCAAGTCTATTGTCAAGCATGTTTCTACAAGACCACGTATAGAACAGCCACTGGAAATAATTCTCAACTTGATTTGCCACACAGCAGAACTGAAGCGCACAGAAATTTCTTTGCACCCAGAACTTGTAGAGTTTGGAACAGGCTTCCTGATACAATAGTCTCAACAATTTCAATCAGCTAATTTGGGGGATTAGGTTCCTGAGATTATCAGATCCAGGGATAGGAACTTAAATTAACTTTGTGCCACTCTATCTTCTCCCGTGGCTATACACGGATTCTGTGAATCTGTTGCTACATACGAAAGAAGAAAAAGCACCGGTACCTTACTGAGTGTACACGATGTATATACACTGTACATGTACACCGGTACCGTGTACACGCACATTGTACGCATCGGCCCACAGCATACTTTACAACATGCCCTTATTTTGGACAGCATTTTTATGCAAGCCCGTTTTGTTCCGGGTCTTGCCCAGGCTTCTCATAATCCTCCTGCGAACTGGAGCAGGAATAGGTCGGCATGCCTGGCTGCACGCGCTTGGAGGAGTAAATAAGACAGGAAACTGCCGTATGACTCATCCAAGCAACAGCCAGTTGCACAGAATTAGGGCCTGGCTATATTTATCCCACTAATGTCAAAAGTTTGAACTGTGTACTTTTTTAATAAGAAATACAGCATGGTTTTATTTGAACTCTGAACAAATGTACGCCACTCAAACAAAAAATTTTTTAAGGACCATTTTTTATTTTGTGTATACTTTTTTATATGCGATATTTTTCTGCCAAAAACGTGCATTTTATGTTTTGGAACAGTTTTTTAATTTTTTATTTCAATGAGAACACCATCCAGACAAACAAAAAATGAAAGAACAAGACCCAACTCATTGCTTGGAAAAATATTACAAGTTAAGAAAAAAGTGGTGGTAAACTTGTATGTAAAAATAGTGCAACACATACTCTGCACTAAGTGCATATTTAGGGTGTGTATCGTAAGTCTGACGCCTCATGAGTCTGACACCTCAAAAGTCAGAATTTTTGGACTAATGAGGCGTCGGAATAATGAGGCGTCGGATTTATGGGCAATTTTTATTTTCAGCCTCATAGTTCCAATGCCTCAAAGGTCCGACCCCTTATAAATCCAACGTCAGAAGAACGAGTTGTCGGACTTCATAGAGGCGTCAGTGCGATTGACTGTGAAACATGGAGGAGTACAGGCCCGCGCGACGCGTCGCCCACGAGAGAAATTCAACTTTGTTCCCAACTCCTGCCCATGGTACTGACCCTGTTAGGAAAACTAAATCAAGTGGACTACCTGCACAGTTCGTACACCGGTCCAGT